CCGTATTGGCCCAAGTTACCACATCACATTAGCACAGTAAGATGAAATTAATAAGAAGTATGGAAAAAGAGACCGAAAAATATAGTCGACGAATCATCTAAATCAAGTTCCTAATGTATAACTTCAACACTACTAACTCGATCGTTAAACGAAAAGCAAATAATTCCTCAAATACACCTATGATCAAAAACCTGCAGTGTAAGCATCTCTTCAACTTTCAAGGACTGTGTTTCACAGACATAAGTCATATATTGTGGGAATTATTGACCAATATACGCTTTCTTTGGTTAGTAAACGAGCATCTTGCTTATACTGCGAGTGACAAAGCTTACGAAAGGTTGGCTGATGTTTTTTAATCTATACCGAAACTTTATTAAATACAAATTCGTTAAGGCTGATGAGACAAGCAAAGTGCTTAAGGTATTTAACTAATTCACTCCATGTTATTAGTTTTAATTTCTTTGTAAATTGTTCATGAAAGTCAATGAAAGAGGCACAAAAAACCATGTTCTATATACACAATGATTTAGAGCATCAGAACAAGTGTATGTTACGTGTACAAATCAGCTTTTGATATTAGTGAGAAGTTTCATAGTGAATTTTCAAAACATCCAAGAAAAAGTCACTTTTAAAGGCTATGAGACGTACAAGAACTCAAAAATTGGTCGAAAAGTAAAAAATTCCTTTCGATATTATCAGTTCATAATGAAGACTTTAAGTAATTAGTAGATTCTGTAACTTCCTGGCGTTGAAAAAAACAAACATTCTAGACCAATGATTCCGTAAAATCATAAACAAATTCTGCCATTTCCTTCAGTGTTTATTCACGCACGAGATATTTTATTTTAATTTATTATACTGGAAATACTTAACACTAAAACAAACTGAGTAATATCTTATACAAACATCAAACAACAAATGATTCATCTCTAGTAAAAGTTTGGGTCATCTGACAACAGGTAACGATGAATGTAACAATTGCTTACCGGCTTTAGATTCATTATAAACAATTCTTTCAAACATAAAATATCTAATCTGTAGCAAAAAGTGTGTTTCCCAATGTGGAAAAAGTAAAAAAACAACCATTAAAGTTAATGAATTCAATAGGGAATTACCCACCTTAATGACAGAGGCTGATCCATTTTTTGTTATATCAACAGGCATCTGTTTGAGACTACAACCATCAATACCCAGAAATCGTAGAGAAGGCAGCATTCCTAATTCAATAGGAAGCAAATCTAATGGCTTATTATTTGATAAATACAAATGTGTTAGATTCTGTAGTTTGCCTGAAAAAGTGATTAGAACAGAATATGTGGAAAATAAATAAGTGGGATAGAATGTGAAATAACACTAGACAACACACAGATTCTCATGCGCTTCCAATCTCTATGTTAGCTTTAACTACTTAATAATTCATAAGTAGTGTACTTATTTCTGCATCATTTGTAAGCCTTCGGTTTGGCGAAATCTATTAAAAATAATATGGCTGACGAATTTACGGAGATAAATACCATTCAAATGATATTTTCAGCCTCAATATTCAGGAGGTGTTAGCCCTGAAAAAAGCACTCTCATTTTTATTATTGTTACTCACATGGCTTTTAGTTGACGTTAATAACATTTTTCAGTTGACATAAGTTTAGTACTTACCGATTTCGGGTGGTAAACGTTGAAGAAGATTCTCTTTCACTCTCAGTTTCCTTAAATTGTTCAGATTTCTTAAAAATCGAAAAAATACATAAAATAAACTATAAAAGTAAAAAAAATGAAAATTTGAGACTATCGAAATGATTAGAAGTGCTTAATTAAATGGTACTTAAGGAATTCCTGGTAGTGAATTTTATGACTTACTGGACTATATACGTAATTAATCAGTATATATTAGAAAGGATGGTATGCAAAAACAGTCCGTTCTTAATTTGAGGTGAGTGAAACAAATGAACAACAGATTAACTTCAAACCTCTTACATAAGCAAATTAACCGAATTATTGCTTATATTGAGTGCTTTCCAAAATGAATGTTGACATAAAACGATAAAAATTTCAGTCCATTGTCGGAGAGATTGGAATCGTACTTCGCTATACCATTTATTTGCAGACAACACGCCTCAGTTCCTACACTAAGTGAATACCAGGTTCCAACTAAAGAGTCTTATATGACATGGTACAACGTGGTATTGATTCTACTTTCGCAGACTACTTTTGTTCTTCTTGCTTTGCTTATTACAAATAACTGCTTATAAAATTGATGACTATTATAACGTATGCTTTCATATTAATGTTGCACTCGAAAGTGTCATTGCCCCTGATAATACATTTTGTCTGAATCAAATGCTGTACACTATTGACATCTTCGTCACTAATGCCCAGTCAAAGTAATTTATGAAATATGTTACTTCAAATAATGCACTTTTACGTTCCAAATGTTGTAGACGTTTTATAACAACCGGATTGTGCCTGAAAGTTGATGTACATTCTGCAAATACTGCCGATATATATATATATATATATATATATATATATATATATATATGAGCAACTTTCACATTCATTATAGTTTAACGAAAAGGTTAAACTAGTAATATTATTCATTCTCCGTAATTAATGCAGAGCTTCTGTTACCATTCTACACAACGTTATCACATAGCAGTGACCTATTTGATTATTTCACAATGATCATCTCAACGTACTCTGGTGGCCTTGTTGTTTGGTTGTCTTCAGATATTTTATTAACTTCAAGACTCCTTTAGATCCATTTGATCATTTTATCCAGTAAACTTCTGTCCAAATAGCCTTTTCCAGTTGGACTCGCCTAGTTAACCCTTTTTACTCACAAAAGACAATTAAACTTTTAAAAAATGATTATCTCTACAATGTGTCCTTTTGTTTACCAAGTAATTGATTGACAAAACTGTTTTAACACAGTAAGTTGACAGAATTTCTATCGCACTGTTTACAAGTAAGTACTAATTGTACGTGTGTTTACAAAAAAATGGAGAAAGTAACTAATTTTTATTAAGATACTCAACAAAACATAAATAGTAAAATGCAAATGTTTATTCAGTAAGATACCATAGCAGTCTCGTAACTCGGTACACTACATATTTGCCTAAATAATTTATTATTGATGTATTTAAGTAAATTAAATTAAGTAAACTATCATAAATAATCGATAATACACTTTGCATAATATTTTTCTATGGTTGTAGGTATCATTACTAGGATCGACTTGATAATTTCGAATAAATCGAGCATTGGGTAGATTGTTCTAAATGAATCAATATATTTGTAATATCCCAATGAGTAGAAAAATTAAATTTTCTGACGTTTCATGTCTCAGTGTAAGTCACTTCTTCAGAGAATGAATAAACAAATCAAAATTAATCCAAGTTTAAATAGTACATCAACGCAAAAATATTATATGCCCAAATTATTCACATAATATTTTCGTGTTGTTCCTTTGTACTATATAAACTTGGATTAATTTTGATTTGGTTATTCCTTCTCTTAAGAAGTGACTTACACTGAAACATGAAACGTCTGAAAATTAGATTTTTCTACTGATTAGGATATTACAAATACATTATTTTTCTATGCTTGTAATTGTTATATATATATATAAACGTAGTAAAATTGAAATATCTTAAAAATAATAGGTTCATCATCTTTTAAAATCCAATTTATTGTTTTGATAAACCAAATAAATAGGCCATTGAGATCACGAACTGATCTAAGTTAGACGACTATTAAGAATCTGAAGATCCTGAATAGCTATGTCAAGAGTGTACACCATCGACTTCACAATCAAGAACCAAACTCAAGGCATTAGGCACAGTGATTTAAATATTAGGCATTTTCGTTAGGAACCATGGATTCTAGGTTCGATCCCAGATTGTAGAGTATTGAATGTGAACTGATGAGAAATTTCATACTGGGGAGTAACGGTCATTCGGTGCTTCCCAAATTCTAATGGTTGTCTAACTTAGTTGGGTTTATGATTTTAACCAACTTTAACAATCTCCAAAACCCTATACTGACAAATGGACCATGTTCTTAGTTTTCTGAAATTTTAAAAACCTTTAACGGATTACTTAAAATAAAACTACATCAATGCTGATCAGTTTTCCTTAATAGAGTGTAAAACCAATCCTAAACGACCTGTTTCATTACTGAAGGCAATTTTCAGCAAAAACTGACACCAACGAAATGACTGATAAGAAAGAAAAAAAGCTAAAGAGTTATTTTGGTCTAGTTTGAATTATCTCAGTCTTAACAAGATTGGACACGAAACTATAATGTCATTTGATGTCCAGAGTAATTGTAAGTCATAAATTAGATATCCATAGATCAATATCCTCGGCATTAGTCAATTTTAAATATCACACTATCCTTTTTATAGTTAATTTTTATCTCATTCATCACATTTGTAACTATAAAAGTCCTATCTTTTCAACATAATACTTCAGAATAATGACCCCAAAATAGATTTGTTTATTATCTGAAAAGTTTATGTAACATGAAAGTGCACTCATTAAATCCTACAAACTTCATAGTGTAAAGCAGAACATATTATGGAATTCGATTATTATTATTAAAACGGTAACTAAACACTTTAAAATCATTTCATTACAAAATTCAATGCATATATCACTATTATTATTTTACTTAAAGTATAAAAAAAACAACATGCATTAATGAATAAGAAAAAAATATAATTTTCAATTTAACGTGTTATAACAGATTGTTAATGGTGTTATGTAAAATAAAGGAAAACAACTTTATTAAAGTATTAAAATAACTTTAATACATTTGCATACTAATCATAAGTAAATGAGTGTTTATTAAAACAAATAATATAAAATGCTGTAAATAAAATACATAAATTTTGAAATTTTAATACAAATAAATACATTTCTGTTTAGTTTACTGATTGTTAACAATAAACCAATACAATCTGAGTAAACTAACTTAACAATGACAATTAAATAGTTAAAAAGAAAATAATGTAAACTTTAGTTTACAAAAGAAAAATCCATCTATTTGAGATCAAATGACAGAAAGTTATTGACTGATTGATTAACTTATAAAAAAGTTGAGATAATATTTAGTTTAGAAGTGATACACGAAACAATATGACATTGATAAGAGGAAAGTTACTTTGTTGGGCATTATAGTAGAATATTAATTCGAATTAGCGATATGGAGTTGTGGAGATTATTAAGTTTTTGAATGAGATCAGGAACCGATTGATGTTAGATCATCATTGAAAACCCGAAAGCACAGGACGACCACTTCGTCCTATTGTGGATGAACAATACTGAGGAATCCCACGATAGGACGAAACGACCGTTCAGTGCTCCCAGGTTTTCAACGGTGGTCTAACATTAATCGGTTTATGATCTCATTTAAACATTTAATTTGAATTGTCAATTTTCAACATTTTAAAATATTATTCATCAAAACTGTATATCAATTACACTAATAATAAGACTTGTCAAGGCGAGGATTGGCAAAGCTAGAGCGGCATTCCTTCAACTGAAGAACATATGGAACTCAAAACAACTTTTAACCAATATCAAAGTCAGAATCTTCAATACCAACGTCAAGGCAGTTCTACTGTACGGAGCTGAAACTTGGAGAACTACAACAACCACCATCAAGAAGGTACAGGTATTTATCAATAGCTGTCTACGCATGATACTCAACATCCATTGGCCGGATACCATCAGCAACAGCCTTTTGTGGGAGAGAACCAACCAGCTTCCAGCTGAAGAGGAAATTAGAAAAAGACGATGGAAATGGATAGGACATACATTGAGGAAATCATCAAACTGCATTACGAGACAAGCGCTAACTTGGAATCCTGAAGGGTAGCGGAAAAGAGGAAGGCCAAAGAACACATTACGTCGGGAAATAGAAGCAGATATGAAAAAGATGAATAAGAACTGGAAAGAGCTTGAAAGGATTGCCCAGGACAGGGTTGGATGGAGAATGCTGGTGAGCAGCATATGTTCCTTCACGAGGAGTAACAGGCGTAAGTAAGTAAGTAATAATGAGACTTGAAGAACGTCATACCGTTTTTTTTAAAAAGTAATAGGAAAGTCTTGAACATTACTGAAAATAATTTTCCAACTATTAACTGTACAAAATAATACTGATTTAAATGCAAATAATTTCTTATTGTATGCTTTAGAAGTTAGTATATGTCACTGATAATTCTTTTGAAAGCGGACAAGTCAAGCATAAGTTAATACTTTCGATCAATATTTGTTATCTTCACCAGAAAAGTAATTGAAAGTAAAGTTATATAATTGACTTGAACATATTGTGAAAAAAGCAAAAAAATATAAGCATAAATTCAAATTTTGTTTGATCTACTTCAGCTCTAGCAAATCAATTATATCATATTCCTCATTATATTCAAAACATATTTTAAAGCTAAGTATATAAGAAAAACAAACAGAATTAATGAACTATAAAATTTAAAAATGACCTAACAGATGAGAAGCAAAATTTATCCAACAGTAAATATTCTATGGTGAATCCATTTTTGGATATCTGATTGAGTATAAATCTACTAAGATTATCATTAATCTCAAATACAATATAATGCATTAAATACTTGGTCGTAACTTGCTGCTCTGGTTATTTATAGATAATTCAATGAGTTATTTACTTGCTTACTTACGTCTACCCTCTAGCATTCTCCAAACAACTCTGTCCTGAACAATCCCTTTCAGCTGCAGTTCATTCTTTTGATATTTACTTCAATTCCAAACGCAGTGTGTTCTTTGCTCTTCTTTTTTCCCCTTGACTTCAGCGTTTGGTGTTACGGCTTACTTCGTAATGCAGTATGGTGATTTCTGCAATGTATATTCTACCCATCTCCAGTGTCTTCTATTATTTTCCTCTTTAACTGGAAACTGGTTTGTTTTCTTCCATAGTATGCTGTCGGTAACCGGTCAACGGATATTCAGTATTTTACGTGGACAATTGTTTATAAATAACTGTACTATTTTGATGATGGTTGTGGAACTGAGTTGACGTTTGCATTGAAGACTGTGAATTTGATGTTGGCTTACAGATAATTGTTTTAAGTTCGATATGTTCTTTAACTTTAGAAATGCTGTTCTTGCTTTGCCAGTCCTTGCCTTTACATCTGCATCCGATCTTCCTTGTTCATCTATGATACTGTCCATGGACGTGAAATTCAATAACTTTTTCAATAAATATTAGGAGTTACGTACTGATCTAAGATGAACCGGTTTAACTTAAATCAATTTGTGATTTCAATGAAATTCAACAATCCTCATCAACCCATACAGAAAATTTCGGATTTTCATTAAAGCCATAAATCAACAAGTGACTATAAGAATCATTAATTTACATTTATTTTTGGAATCAAGACAAGAATAACTTCGGATATGAAACTAGTTATTCCAACTGTAGATCAAATTAAACATTCATTTATGTCTGTAATCTTTAGAATTAGTGAATGTGTTGAAATCACTTATGAAGTTCCCTTATATATGATCCTATTTCATAGGTGAACAAAATAAAGTTATGAAAACAAGAAAAATTCATCAAAAGGTTGCAATAATAACTCACCCTATAGTTGATGGAAGTCTGGATAACTTGTTAACATCTAAATTAAGTGTTTGTAACTGACATAATTGTCCAATGTTTAAAGGAATTGATATAATTTGATTGGATTCTAATTCTAATTGTACTAATCTAACCAATTCCCCAATTCTATTTGGTAATCCCTAATCGATTGAATAAAATGTAAATAATCATGTTGTACCGTGTTAAATGTATATGGAAATAATAATCAAATTACTTGATTATACTTAAATTAGGTAAATTAATTTAGACATAAATTCAGATAACATTTCCAAATCATCAAAAATGATTCTATTCGATTGTTTACTGCAAGCTGTATTTATTAACTGACAAAATAGTATTCGAACCATCCTGTTTATTTCAATGTTAATGAACGGTACAAATTGCAGTTAAACTTAAATACAAATAAGCTGACAAAAATGAAATTTTTAAGTATATGGTTTATTGATGAGTTACGTATAGGTTGCTTTATTTAAATGATTGACGTAAGAGTAATTACAGATGTAAATAATAAAATTACAATGTATTACTTATTTTTAAAGATAAGCGCATGTTAGATTGAAAAAAAAACTTGATGCTTACCTACCTGCTTGTTATTTTTATTAACTTAGTCATACAATTCCGTAATTAAAACATGACTTAATAAAAAAATTAATGATATTGAATGAATCTTATTCAATCTGCTGTGTCAGTGATATTATACAGTATACATATGTAATTCATCGTAACGAATAAGGCTCATATTATCCTCTCATAAAATAAATAAAAGATTTATCTCTCTATTTCCTTATAATTTGTGTTAACTATTGTTTTCTTAATCTCTGTGTTTTTTAATGTATTTATTTATTACATGCTTTAACCCCACCTGGGACTTTATTAGGGTTGCTGTCGGTCCAATTCCCGAATAGAGAAGGAGGGTTGAACTATAAGTTTCCAATATCAAGCAACAGAAAACAACCTTGCTAAAAAACGCTAACCGGAAAAGGCAATTAAAACCTTTAAAACTCTGCCCTGAGAGTTGAGGGATATTCATTTAGAAGAATTACGACGCCTCATAGTGAAAACCAAGATGTTTCGGAAGTCATTGGGCCGGTGCCCCTTCTGACAACCAGAGTAACAATTTATAAAGGTACATGGAATGTCCATACAATGTGAGAGACCGGTAGGATCATCCGAGTAGCTGTAAAAATGAAAAAAAACATCCCGGTGGTGCTTGAAATAATTGAAACCCGTTGGATGAATGGTGGACAGAAAAGATTAGCAGCCGGAGAGATTCTGTTATACTTTGGTCATGAAGAAGAAAATGCTTAGCAAAAGCAACCCTTTGACGCTAGGCATTTCACTTTCACCTGATGATGCATACGCTTATATCTGTCGACATCAGTAACACACACCACATTTAAGTCCTATCAAATGTCAGCTATAATATTATTAAAAAAATCATTAAAAACAATCAGATTAACGTTAAAACAGAGCTACTAATCATGGATTTGTCAAGTGCTTATATTTATAATGACTATGTACGTTTAACAGATTATATGCTTGATATTGATAAATGAATAAGCACAGACGAATTGGATATAAATAAACAAAATGAAGAATATACTATATAATATTACCTTTAAGCGATTACTAGTCAAATCTAATACTTCTAAAGATACTAACTCGCCAATTGAATCAGGTAGATGACCAATTTGATTATAGGAAAGATCTAATTCAACAAGATGTTTCAATGTTTCTATTCCTTCAGAAAGACAGTATAGCAAATATCAAGTGATGTAAATGGGAAATAGTAAACAGTTTATCAACTGAATAAAATTGCTTAATAAGTAAATAACATAAATATAGTCATTTAAAGTATGATAATTAAAATTAGAAAATAAGTCACATTTAAATATGACGTTTAGATTAAATGAAATTATTATTATAATTACACGATTATAGATTAGTGATATCAGAATTTTCCCACAATTCATAATATTGAATATACTTCAAAATATATCACTGATCATTGATGAAAATGTACAAAAGTAATAATTCATGATGAAATTCATTAAGTATTGTTATGAATTTATAGTCTGATAATGAATACCATCTTGATATGAGAAAAGAACAAATTATCAATTCACTGAAGTAATCTTTAGCTATAGAACACCGGATAGAATACAAAAGTGAATAACACATAGTTGGTGTAAAGTTGAAAACTTCCATCAGTCATTGTCTTCCTGTTAAGTGTGCAATATTATTCATTATCTTAATTTATATTTTCGGATACCAAGTTTACATTGAATAATTAAATAAACCAAACACTTCTCTTATTGAAACAAATACTGTTCTTTTTTAGATTTAAAAGTTGCCAGTTCCGGCACTGTACTTTACAACAACAGACTATATAATCAATTTATTTACCATCTTTAGTACGTTTGATGCAAGAAAAGATAATTTCATGACAAATTTATTGATAAAAGAACAAGTAAATATTGAAACTGCTGAAAAACAATAAATAAAAGTTTATAAGCTAACATTATTTCTGATAATTAATTAGGATTACAAGTAAAACCACGGTAATATGCTTGATTGATCAGTATTTTCAGGAACTAGTTGACTGAATTCGGATTTACATTTAATCGTTCAAAGAACAGTTTACTGAAGTTATCATGTGGTTATTAATATAAATATGTAAGGTTCCATTAACATTAAAGTTTCGACTGAAGTTACCAAGTTCGATTAAATAAAATTTAAAACCTTACAGAAGGATAAAATTTTAAAATTATTTCATACAGTTAGTTCCCTTTATGAATTTAAATAAAGCAAGAACAAATATTGATGCAGAATAGTATGAATTCATAATATTTCGAGGTTTCTCGTCAGCTGCTTACAACCAAATATGTGATAAAAAAAATTTTTACATTGAGATAGTGTAAAACAATTGGCATAAATGAATGTAAATAACTGGAATGGCAAAGGTTTACAATAATAACTATATATATATATATGCTAGAACAGGTCAGAGGTTAATTGGTGTTAGGATTAAGGAAACAATTAAAGATGGGTCATGTAATAGTTGAATGGAGTTTATACATTGTGTGATAATTATTTTAGAGGTAATAGAACAGTGATAAGATAGGTTACGTAATAATTGAATAGAATTAGGAAGGTTAACATGATATAAGAGGATTAGTGGGTGGAAATGTGTGAATGGAAAGTTGGTTTAAGAATTAGGTAATGGGGGGAATATAACCCAAAATGAATATTTTGAAAATAAGTGAATAAAATAACACACACAAAAAAAAAGTTACCAGGGTAATGATAAGTTTATTAACGTCTCTTTTTGAATGCATAAATCCGGTTTAAGTTTTTTTATCGCAATCGAACCGGAGAGTAGTAGTACTTCGTTGTATATTGATAATTTTGAAAGCGTGTGAGATATCAATGGTATGCCCGGTGTCCAGTAAATGCCGAGCTATCGCACTGTTAAGAACCTTCGTCCCTCTCAGCCTCAAGTTCTTTGGAACATGCTCAGAAATACGAACATGTACTCTTCTCTCAGTTCTTCCAATGTATGTGCTTTGGCACGTACATGTGAATTGGTAAATGCAGTTGGAGCTACTAAGAAAAGAGGACTTGTCGATTTTAGTTTCTTTGAGTGAGCAGTTCGTTTTCCATACTGTCATTAATTTAGCTGCTGGGTAGGCAACTTTCAACGCCGAATTTAGTCTGTGATTAATTAAGCCAGAGTTGAAAAGAAATCTTGCTTCTTATATCTACGTTTCAAAGGAGACGAAATTGTCTAGAACGTATGGCCTGAAATACCTTGATGAATTGTAAGAAATACATATAATGATAAATGACCACTTTTCACTTTGTAATAAATGGAATGTAGCTAGAAGTGAAATCCATGACGCAAGTTTCGTTCTGTTTGGGATTGGTCAACCGAGTGTACCTGCATTGACAACGGGATAATCCAAACCATTACAAACTAACGATTAAAACACTTATTGATGTGTTGTTACAACTAAACAATCACATTTTCAGTAGTTGCATACACGTTTAACTACTGAGCACAAGTGATCAGCAACTATTGCCATAAAAGCTTTTTTTATGATTTCTAGTGAATTACTGTTTACCATGCAAAGACATCGTTCCTAGGTGGTCAGTCACAATCAAGTCTAAAGTTGATATTTCATATTCAGTTTGTCAAATAAATGAAAATGTACATGTATTTCGGATTCTCCTTCAAAGTTTAAATACCCAAAGTTATCATTCGAATTCTTAATTAGAATTTACTATCCGTCTTTTCAGTAACGGAAATACCTTTTATAAAAAGAGTTGACTATTCACATCGTAAATGTAATGAACCACGTGATCATGATTTGCAAACAGCCTATTACAAACAACATAGAGAGTTAATTACAGTTATATAAAAACAATAACATGCACTGACATAATCCAGCAAATGGATATTAAAAAATGTAAAACATGTATTTTTAGGACTATTACTAACATACAGTAAAGTAACAAGTAACTTAATTTATTGTGTCTATAAAATTTGAACAGTGACGTCACGATGGAACCTTTGTGACATCATAACTAAATTCACAGCATGTTTTAAAGTAGTTAACAGGAAAAACGTCTACCTGTAAAGTCTAAAGTGATAATATTATTGTTGCATAAGTTTAGTGTAGTTAATTGAGTGTTTTCTGACAGCTGAACTGCTTCGAATAATTCTAAACGATTATAATCCAATCTGAAATGCTTTAAAAAGAAAGCCGAAATAACAACATAGATAAAAATGATATATGAAACAAAATTTATTTCGTTTGTTTCTGCAGTTATTTTGGTACATGTTCAGAAATTAGAACTTACAAATACCGATTACTCATATATTTGTATACATGACGATACAAAAATTCAAACCTCATTTATGTATTCAGAAGCAGTTTGTTCTCACTCTGATTCTATTCTGGTAATGTCAATTTATTATCCAGGGTGATGAGTTTAACACTGTCCTTCGAATTATTTTTAATATAATTATCCTTTTTTCCCCCTTACATTCCATTTTTATAGTTGGCCTTTTATTTTTGATATGTAAATGTTCTTACCGAGTATGTATATGACCATATTGTTCGGAATGTATTGCACTAATATATTACATAATCCTAACAATCTTCGTCTTCTTACTACATTATCCATGTATATCAAAGAGATTAATTGCCTTAGAAGTAAATACGTCAACTGTGTTATAAAGATTTAAAATACTGGAAATAAAGATTTCCGTAACACCTGAATTTTTTCTATCAAATAGACTCCGATCCAATAAATAAAACTAGTAAATTTAATACTTTTACTTACTATTACTTACGCCTGTTACTCTCAATGGAGCATAGGCCGCCGACCGGCATTCTCCAACCCACTCTGTCCTGGGCCTTCCTTTCCAGTTCTATCCAATTTATATTCATTTTCCTTATATCTGCCTCCATTTCTCGACATAATGTGTTCTTTGGTCTTCCTCTTATCCTTTGGCCTTGAGGACTCCATGTGAGGGCTTGCCTTGTGACACAGTTGAATGTATTCCTCAATGTGTGTCATATCCACTCCCAATGCTTCTCCCTGATTACTTCCTCCATTGGGATCTGATTTGTTCTCTCCCACAGTAGGTTGGTAGACAGTTGTTAATAAACACTTATCTCTTCTGCATGATGGCTTTCGTAGTTCTCCAGGTTTCCCCCCCATATGGTAGAACTGTCTTGACATTTGTAATGAAAATTCTGACTTTGGTGTTGGTTGACAATTGTTTTGAGTTCCAGATGTTCTTCAATTGTGAATACGTTGCCCTTGCTTTACCGATCAGCGCTTTCACTTCTGCATCAGATCCACCGTATTTGTCAATGATGCTGCCCATATATGTAAAGGTTTTTACATCTTCCAAATCTTCTCTATCAAGTGTGATTAGATTATCGCGTGATGTGTTGTATCGGAGAATTATGCTTTTCCCTCTATGTATGTTGATACCTACTGCTGCTGAGGCTGTCGCCACACTGGTCGTCTTCTCCTGCATTTGTTGTTGTGTGTGTGATAGAAGAGCCAGATCATCTGCGAAGTCTAGGTCGTCCAGCTGCATCCTAGATGTCAACTGTATCCCATGCTTTCCCTCAGATGTTGACGTCTTCATGATCCAGTCGATCACCAGGAGAAGAAGAAAAGGTGAGATTGAGCAACTTTGCCCGACACCAGTCTTTACTTCGAACGACTTTGTCAACTGTCCTCCGTGCACGATTTTGCAGTTTAATCCATCATAGGAATTCTGTATGATATTGACTATCTTCTGAGGCACGCCGTAGTGTCGAAGAAACTTCCATATGGTTGTTCTGTCCACGCTATCAAATGCTTTTTCGTAGTCAATGAAGTTGATATAGAGTGATGAATTCCATTCAATTCATTGTTCCACAATGATCCGTAGAGTTGCGATTTGGTCTGTACACGATCTGTCCTTACAGAATCCTGCCTGTCGGTCTCGAAGTTGGGCGTCTACCGAGTCCTTCATCCTGTTTAACAATACCCTGTTGAAGACTTTTCATGGTATTGAGAGAAGAGTGATGCCCATGTAGTTATCACAGTTGCTGAGATCGCTTTTCTTTGGTATCTTCATCAGGTGTCCTTCTTTCCCATCTGTTGGTTCTTGTTCTTTATCCCAAATCAGTACATTTAATAGTTACTAACTTAAAGAAATCGTTTGAATAATTCTAGACAAAAAAACTTATTCTATAAAATGATTCAGGTTAATATGCTACAAATGATTTACTATGTGAAATATCAATCTTTCATAAACTATGATAATTCATTATTGTATCTATTTTCAAATTAACTACTAATTTCAGAATTTAAAAAAAAACAGTTGGATTCCATATGATTATTTCTACGAAAATAAATTCAAAAAATATTCTGATAAAAAAACTTCAAAAGTGTATTAGTACATTTGTGCTTACTTTGACATTTTTATACTGAGCTTTATCACCGATCGGGAAAGAACTGAAATCATTACGAGATAGTACTACAGAAAGTGAGTCTTTTAAATGACACAATAGATTTTCCTATTCAATTAAATATATAGAAAAAGAAAAATAGGTTCTAGTCGTAAACAAGGCAAAGAAAAAATGATATTACTTAGATAATAGAATTAATAAATGAATATAGATTAATTATAATGCATGTCTCATAGTCAACGTCGCAGTGTGGTCTCAGCGTAACAGACATTGATAACTTGTAAGCATTGGAAAGTTGTCTTTTCGTAGTATGGGATTCTTCAACAGTGTACATTCACTACCCCAATGTTGGGTATAAATAAATCAAGCTCTGAAATAGCGTTCTTCATGCTTTAATATGATAGATGTTACCGATTTTCTATGGTTTTATGGTAGATCAAGATCTCATTTAACTGAAAAATTCACAGTAGTTAGTTATGGAATTTTGTGGATGCAAGTCGCATATTTTTACAAGATTTATACCTATGTAAAAATTATTTTAAAATAAAGCTATAAGTTTTATTCTCTAAACTGCTCCTTGGATAGCTTTTCTGTTACGTTAAGATTCAACAGTAAAGCTTTATGTCAGTGTTTCATCTTAAGAAGTTTCATTGTTATTTTTTTGTTTGAAACTTTTTAATAGCTCTAAATATTACTGGAATTATGAGTAATCAGTTATATGATACATTCGTTACGTAAGGGATAAAGAAAGAGGAAGTGTGAGTACAGAATAAATCGTCAGCGTTGACTAGAAGAGCGAATGAGAGCTTTAATGCCGCTGTTGCTAAACCAACAACTTTCGTCACTCAAAAGCTCATCCCTCGAGTGAAAACTCCTTGGCTCCTTTAGGACTTGTGGAGGCTCCATCGTGCTTCACGAAAGCCGTTTCAACAGATAACTTTAAGAGACAGGTGATTAATTACCATGCATCACTTTTAAAAGTTCATGCATTCAGTTGGCTTTACGACATAATAAAAGGTAAATACAATTTTTAAAGTATATGACTAATGTTTCCTATATCTCAGTGTCCTAATTCCGTTTTTGCAGATACTAACGTCTTTGTAAAACTGATACATCTACAACAAACGTGAAATCTTTGATTATTAAAAGTATAGTGAAAGTAGTTTTAGTGAGACGTCTATACTGAAACATCGGTCTTTCATCAATAAGTAATGAAACACGCAACATCAAAGCATACTTCATTACTCTCTGTACTGATCAGCACAAATAAATCAAGCCAGATTATAATATATTATGGTTTGTTATATCTGATGAAAAAAAGGTTTGTATATATGAGTAGTAAAAGGGTTTGCATTCAGCAATGATGGAACCATTTATTCTACGGCTTCGAAATAATCAATGATCACTTGAAGATTAAAAATAAAAACCGAAGCTTTTAATTTTACGAAAACAGACCAATTACCGTTTAGATTATTTAATAATTGTACCTATCCACGTGTAACAAGCTAAATCATGTAAGTTTTTAATACTTTCATTGATAACACTGTATATTCCATCCATGATATGAAGATAGAACTGCGCGTACAAAGAGGTACGTTTAAACCCTATCTTTGCCATGACCTTAAATTGTTATCACTATATTTTATTTCGTATTTGAAAATACTGCCCCGCCTCTTAAATTATTTCTCATAACCCCACCATTTTATTCATAGTTATTTCTAACATCACTTTCACTTAACCCCTCTATAATTTTTAATTGTTGTAACAAAAATACATTTTAATTATCTTACTCCATTCACATTACAAACCAGCTGCTAACTTATTTTTCCCTCATTTTTTTAACCATCAATCAGGAAAAAGGTGTGATCAGAAATAATGATAAAGGAAACCAATAAATGAAACTATGGGAAAGGATAATTATTCGTATTTTCCAAAGCTGTACAAAACATAAAGCAAAATCAGTAAGCGTTTAGTGATTTTCTTCTGCAACCATATAATTGTGATTTTTTTTACAGAACTATCTAGTTTATGATTTAAACCGGAAATGCCTATTACATATCATTGTGTTCAGTGAAATCAATCATTAGTATTATGTAATCAAAAAATAAATTTATATAAGGTACTCAAAAAGTGACAACAACAATGAATTTTCTACTTATCAATAATCAATTAAAATGTGATAATGGAAGAGACTAGTGTGGAAAAAATCAGTAGTATGTAGAAAGATTTATCGACAATCCTATTCGAATAACTATCAGTATAAGATTATGGAGGTTGGTCTTTTTTTTTTTGAGGAAAAACCGATCAATGTTAGACCACCATTAAAAACCTGGAAGCACTGGATGGACATTTTGTTCTAGTCTGGGATACTGCAGCAGTGTTGATCCACAATCTCATGATGTAATTTACCATCGACAAAAAATGCCAAACGAATATTTTATGACTTTCTCTGCATTACTACGTACATATATGCTATATAAGATTACAGTGCATGACAGTACAAACTAAAACAAGCAAACTAACCGGTAGCTGAGTTATATGATTACCTTCAATATTCAACTCGGTCAATTTCTCGCAATTACAAATTGTGACTGGGAGTTCACTTAAGCAGTTGTATCTGAAACACAAAAATACACGTTTGTTGATTAGAGGTAATGAAGTTTAAAAATAAATATAAGACTAATTTGCATTTGAATAATAAGAAAGTATGAATTACCAACTACTTTTATGTATTCAATAGAACCACAAAGTGGTAGTCACACACAAATGCATATAGAACTTGACTTCAAGATGAAGAAACTGTAGGATTCAATTACATATTTGCTGTATTTGTGTGTTTAACAAATCTTTAGCAAGTAAGTATACATCTGTGTGTCGTTAATGGAAATTTTTCTAAATACTAGCCAAATTTTCATGACACTAACTTGATATCTCAAGGAAGACACAATCACTTAAAGTTGAAGTTTTTGTATTAACTTTAGGTTTCCATAAAAACATCTAAAGATACATTTTATAACAGCGGAGTGTTTAACAAAAGCTATGTGATCATCCAATTTTAGTTAAACTTAAAAGCGTAAGTAGTGATCCGGAGTTGTTATTATTACAGGTTCGGCAACTATACAATGACTGATTATTGAACAGTGATTTATGCTATAATTATTTAACCCTTTAATTGCTGATGTAATTCCATCAATTGAATTGTAATGAAGTCAATAGTCTAAGTAAAGCTGGCCGTAGTAGTTTTGAATCTATCAGGTAATAACAGTTCCTTCAAGACAGCAGATACATCTCACTAATAAGTGTCAACTGGCACAAAACCTAGTTCCACAGTTTTCTGCCAATAACTTACAATCACCTAACAACGCGACAGTGTTTATTCAAATAAAGAAATTGATACATTTTTCGTCACTTAACAATTTAAGAAATCTTTTATGTGATAAAAAATGTCATCTTTCTCAAACAAATATCATGCCAGTATTAATTCTTCTTCCGTAATACCGATAACTTTATCTTCACTGTAAAGGTACGACATCCCAAAACTTGAAGTGCTATGAAGAATATTTTTAGACCAAGAATAATATATTGAAGGTATTATTTGTTTTGAGTTTAATGAGTTTACTTGGAGAATATGACATCTTCAGAAGACATCACAAAACATGTCAAAAATAAATACCTGAAACCAGTCACAGTGATATAAACACTAATCACTTTTATTCCTACTCATTATATCTGAAAAATCCAATTATGTAATTATGAATTTCTGGAATCTTGGATATTTTTAATCTTTTTATTAAGATGATTTTAATAGTTTCTTTTAGCTTGTATAATGATATTAAATGTAATAAGTTAAATTTCTAATGAAATTCTATCCAATATTCTAACGAATTTCATTTCTATAAATAATACAAACAGTTTAACTGTAAATGTACATCTTTGCAATAATTAAAATATAATAAGGGTATAATATTAACATAATAAGCTAAACTTTCACAATATATTCACATTCTTCGTCTCTTATTCAACTCATATAAATAAAATAAACTTTATGTAAATAGAAAACAATCAACAAAACTCCAAAATATAAAATAATCACACAATGAGAATACAAATTGAAAACTAGAAATGTTTTCATACAAAACAAAACAAATAACGAATTGATCAAAGTTTAATATGTGCTCCATCTGATTCTGACTTAATGATAAAAAGTTAATCTGCTAATTGGTAAGACTTAAGAAAAGTGATGAGTCCAATCCCCTTGTGGAGTAGTAGTAGTGTAGTGTATGCTATTTATGTCGACAAACATTATGATGTAACATCAGTTGGAAGTGGAAAACCTGGCAGCAGAAGGCTAAGAAGATTACTGTTAAACAGAATAGAAGGGAAATAGAAAGGAATTGTGGATTGGAAGAATCATACAGAATGTGAAGGACAAATGATGGGAATTTACAAATGAAGTATGTAATGTATGCCTCTCATATTTTACCAAGAGATTCTGTAATTTTGTATCTGAATATAACCGGTTTCCCTTACCTGTGTTCTCATTCACAACAGTAGTAGTAGCAGTATACTGATGTGCTGTAAAAATTGGTCAATAACATGTAACTTGTGAAAGTTGAACCCTTGGATACTTAAACAACTAAGTATCAAACTACGAATAAAAGAATATTCAGTAAAAAACCTACTTAATTCCTAGTACCGTAAGTTCTGAAAGTTGACCAATTGATTTTGGCAATTCATCAATTTGATTATAATCCACAAGAAAACGGGATAGTAATTTACAATTGCCTATATCTAATGAAAGAAAATAAGAAATATATTGTTCACAATTAAACAAATTAAGTTTATTTAGATAAACTATTGATGAACCAATTAATTAATTAAAAGACAGTTGAACTGTGTCTTATTTCAATTCATTTTTGTATTCGTTGTTTGCATCATCCCATTGATGTTCAGGACTGCTACTGATCAGTCTCTTATTGGCATATGTACATCCATCTCTGCTTACAGTACATATGTTCCATTTTGTTCATCATGCTTTTGTAAATCATATGAAGCAAAAATACCCGCAGTTATTATTATATTCATCTATTTAAGTATAATTTTACATTGATGAAATAATGACAGGATTTATTTCAACTGTGATTATGGCGTACTCTCAGTTTTTTTTACCTAACCAATACTTTCTTTAAGTAGATTTATTGTTTTAAAATCATCATTAGTGAGATCGTTCTACGACAATGACATGATTATAAGGTAATATGAAATAATTCCAAAAGAAATATCATATGCATAATACTATTCTATCAAGTAATCATGAAAATTATATAACAAAGTTTGTAGATTTTAATAAGTTTGAGTTATAATCTGTTATTTCAATAGAGGTAGTTTATAAAATAATAATTTTATCACTTATCTTTACTAGAATGAGTAGAATGCTGATTCAATTACTTGACCTCGAGTTCAACAATGTGTCATGGTACTTTTTCAGAAGACTTAGTAGATTCGAATGGTGTAATAAATTAGTGTTACTGTACTGAATGAAAAATTATATGCCCCATGTCAAGTTTTAACGCATCATTTACTGGTATAAAAGCTTGATGGAATGTTAGGTTGCAAAATATTATTGAATGGCCATAAATATAGCTAATTTAAACTGATTTTGAAGATTGTCTTCGTGATGTAACAATATTATCTAAAGGTTGGACATACATATAATTCCAAACCTACTGATTAGTCCATAAGTATTTTCTGTTACATAAAAAAGTTCTGGGTTCCATTCTATGTAGATTTAGTATTATGTAGTTTCTAAGAGTTTTTGATTTTACGTTAACCTACGACGAATGAAATTAATTTTGTAAAACCACAAAAGTAAACTTCGAAAAAAGTTTCAATATTATTTAGCGTCATTAAATCATTTGAAATCAACCATCTTGAAATTTATGTTAAACTTCAAGTTGAAAAACTAATTGCCTTTTTATTTCTTTCAAAAACTCAAAGTGGAAAAGATCAATTTTTGGATTTTTTCTTAAAATAAGTACTTTCACGGAATTTCTGTATATCAAAACAATTGACTTATATACGAATATTCGTCAAGATTAGAAAGAATACTTTGCCAGAAATAGGGTGCCGAGTATAGAAAAGTCATTATATGTGAAAATTATATTTGAAATAATCTCAGAGATTAAAATCTAAATAATTCCAACGTTTCATCCAGCTAACTTGTCTGGACTTCTTCAGAATAATAACGTTGAGATTATTTAAATTTCAATTGCTGAGATTGTTTCAGATGTAATTTTCAAATATAACGATTTGACAATTTTCAAACACTATTTACTAACTTGTTATTATTAATTCACATATGTATGAAGATATTTTGACAAAAAAATATAATTTACTGGAAACATTAATGTTTTTCAATAAAAAGCACACAAGTGTTATTTTTATCAGTCAATAATAAAAGAAAACTCTTAAATTGACTCAAACAAAAAATGCATATAAGTTCTGAGAAAGTTTAATAACTTTTGCTATTACAGAAAACTGATTTTTATTGAAAAAATACTATACTGATTAAGATCCTTTTTTCATGTAATGGAGTCAACTCCGACTGACTATTAAAAATTGGAAATGGTTAGTCCCAAACAATGTATAGGAACTTTGAAAGATAATATGGTAGATTCGACAAGCGTATAAAACAGACCCATATAACAAAATGAACCTCGTAGCTGATCATAAACCAGTTCAATATACACTGCTAACAAAAGTATATAAACATATGAGTTAGTAATCAAGGACAAAAGTATAATATACTGATGACCTTAAGCGACTTATCAGTCAATCAGGAAACACTGCCTTACTAAAAAATGATTAACAATAAAAAAGCAACAAAACAGTGGAATAGTGGTCTTGATATGATTAGTCATCCTTTACATGTTAAAGTGTTTATTGTGTTAGAGTAATCAAGTTAAGTCTATATATTAGGAGTTAGGCTAGGGTTGTGAGTTAAAGTTATAACCCTATAGGGTTTTCATCCACAACTGATAACAGGTATGTTACAAAATGGTGGGCGTCAGGTAATAGAAGTTAAACTAGAATTTTATGTTAGGGTTACATATTATGGATATGATATTCATCACGAACCGATGTTGGCTACAGTACAATGATGTTTTACCAACCTTTTATTTACAAACTTAGGAAACTTGACGTTGAGATTTAAATTCAGTAGTTAAGAAAATACTACTGAATCACATTAATTATTTAACACAGAATCCGTATCAGGAGTTTGTATTTCATGTGGTTTGGCTTCAGAGCTAAATTCTGTTCACTGTTCCATTGCGTAGTACATATTTTTATCATTTTCAAGCATTTAATAAACAAAATATTGTCAATTTTTACTTATGTCTAGCACTGCGCTTTACTTTCACGCAAAAATGTACGACGTTCTATCTCAGTTCCGATTACTTAACTCAAGGCCGTTAGCGTAGTACACTTTTTACTGAATGTGTATTAGATCAAAAATATAGAGCACAGAAGATATTTAACTAATACTTTGCTTCACTGTCATCTGGAAACTATCAACAGACTGGCAAAACATATAAAAAGTAGAATAAAAATTAACCATAGAATTTTTTAATACGTAACAATGCCTTATTAGTACAACAGGGCTTTGAAAATTTAATTTACCGATTATATTACAGACTGATTGTTATCTGCAGATCGACCACAGGCAGAGTAAGGAATGCTCAGGCCTGAGAAATCTTATACACTAAAAAAATAGCAATGTAATCGTTTTCTGTTTTTTCATGATTGTCTAGTTAAACCTAGACCATCATGTAAGAAACAAACAGTGGATTACTTTTCATACAAAAAATTATTAGTGGATTTCTAAGGGTTAACTAGAAAGATAATAGAACGTCATCTGAATGACACATGATTACTAATAGTCAAACTTTAGCTTCCAATTATTAATTTCCTTTCACTACAAACTATACTTCTTTGTATATACAAATACTGTAATTAGGAAGGAAATTTATAATTCATGTGTTGCTTACAGTAAACAAAAAGCTGATATTCAATAACATATTTTCGTTTGCTTTTCATATTCAATATTATATTACTCAAATTTTATCATTAGAAAAAACTCTCAAGACGGAACAAAACGTTAAAATCTACAAAAGAATGAAAACTGGTATTACTCTGTATATGGTTAGAAACATAAGGTAATGAACCTAAAACAACTCGATTTTTCAGAAATTTACAAGAGCGTTTTATACGAGATGTTTTACTTGTATATTAATCAAAATGAACTTCGTACACTGATAACAGTAATAATAATAATAACCATGGCGAAGAAAACACAATGTCACCATTGAATGTCTATTCAAATATAGAAATTTAAAATCTACTATTTGTTACACATTTGATACTTCAGTGCCATAATATGTACTTAAGACTATTTAGAAAAAAGAACAATTTCCAGGCAACTAAACACTTGAGTTAATGAGTACTGGTAGTAATTATGTTTTGAAGTGTAATTACAAACCATGGAAGTTGTTAAGAACAGTTATATGAATAGATTTTCACAGTTTTTTTTATATCAGTAGTACAAATAATAAAAAAGAACATTTTTTAGAAAAAAATGCAGTAAAGTCTTTTATTCTAATGTGTTCTTATTGTCCACTGTATTAGCGAATAATTTTATGATCAGGGTATCATGAAAACCGAAACATTTAAGCTTAATGAGAAATAATATATAGTAAAGCTTTAAACAAAATAAATAAACTTGACATTTAATTGTTATTATTTTTAGTTTTAATCAACTTTGATCATGTACATGCAAACAATACCTTTAAATATAAAATAAACCTCTTAGTTAACATTCATAAACTTGTATAAACTACAAAGAACAGAAGTCTCATAAATAATACAAAAATTAGTAAATTCATTCTTAAGATATTAGCTAATTGAAAATAAGATAAACATTGACATATAAAAAAAAAGTGAGGCTCCTTTGTATAAATTAAATTATATCAGACATAAGTTTTTTCTCAAAAAATAATGTACCTCACTAGATAAAATCATCATTAAAATCAATAAATTATTAATACTATTATTATTATTTAACTCAGCTTTTTACTTCAGAAATTTCGTAATACAACATTAAGTTAGTTTTTATTACAGGATAACTTTAACTAGTCAATTACTAAACAGTAGAAAGAGCTGGAAAACTGTTTTTCACTCGTTTTAAACTTCTAATTAGTGTATAACAATGACTACATATGTGACTTAACACACGATCTTCAAGTTTCATAATGAAAGAGTTACTTTTAGACCATGTAGTCAGTAAACACTGGATTGTGTTTTCAACCGGTAAATTTCTGATATAGTGCGATGATTATACAATGTCAGTAATGATGCCTATCACACTCGGGACCTGACTGAACCTGGTTATGTCACCTGGTTCAGGGAAAGTAACACCACTAAACGTAATCATAAACAACCTAAAGCATAGAATATATGAGCATCATTTAAGATGTCACACTAAACCAGCACAACGAGATCAAATTATCAAGACAAGTGCTAGAGTAGTAGAAGTAACAGTGTCAATCATAGTTATAAACATTAGACACAGATAATATGATTCTATGACAAGGAATTAATTAATCCTGAACAATTTACATTCAGTGGTATTTTGATAGGGAAGACTGACTATCCAACCAGTAATTCATAAATTTTCAGTATTTCCTCGCATATATTGTGATTGAATATTCAGAGTAAGTTATAAGAACTTTCGT